TCAGTATTCAAGGTGATTAATCATCATTATTCAAGGTGATTATTCAAGGTGATTAGTCATCAGTATTCAAGGTGATTAGTCATCATTATTCAAGGTGATTACTCATCATTATTCAAGGTGATTAGTCATCATTATTCAAGGTGATTGGTCATCAGTATTCAAGGTGATTAATCATCATTATTCAAGGTGATTATTCAAGGTGATTAGTCATCAGTATTCAAGGTGATTAGTCATCATTATTCAAGGTGATTAGTCATCATTATTCAAGGTGATTGGTCATCAGTATTCAAGGTGATTAATCATCATTATTCAAGGTGATTATTCAAGGTGATTGGTCATCAGTATTCAAGGTGATTAGTCATCATTATTCAAGGTGATTAGTCATCATTATTCAAGGTGATTGGTCATCAGTATTCAAGGTGATTAATCATCATTATTCAAGGTGATTATTCAAGGTGATTAGTCATCAGTATTCAAGGTGATTGGTCATCAGTATTCAAGGTGATTACTCATCATTATTCAAGGTGATTAGTCATCATTATTCAAGGTGATTGGTCATCAGTATTCAAGGTGATTAATCATCATTATTCAAGGTGATTATTCAAGGTGATTAGTCATCAGTATTCAAGGTGATTAGTCATCATTATTCAAGGTGATTAGTCATCATTATTCAAGGTGATTAGTCATCAGTATTCAAGGTGATTAGTCATCATTATTCAAGGTGATTAGTCATCATTATTCAAGGTGATTAGTCATCATTATTCAAGGTGATTAGTCATCAGTATTCAAGGTGATTAGTCATCAGTATTCAAGGTGATTGGTAATCAGTATTCAAGGTGATTAATCATCAGTATTCAAGGTGATTAGTCATCATTATTCAAGGTGATTAGTCATCATTATTCAAGGTGATTATTCAAGGTGATTAGTCATCAGTATTCAAGGTGATTAGTCATCATTATTCAAGGTGATTAGTCATCATTATTCAAGGTGATTAGTCATCATTATTCAAGGTGATTATCATCATTATTCCAGGCGATTAGTCATCATTATTCAAGTTGATTAATCATCAGTATTCAAGGTGATTAGTCATCAGTATTCAAGGTGATTAGTCATCATTATTCAAGGTGATTAGTCATCATTATTCAAGGTGATTGGTCATCAGTATTCAAGGTGATTACTCATCATTATTCAAGGTGATTAGTCATCATTATTCAAGGTGATTGGTCATCATTATTCAAGGTGATTATTCAAGGTGATTAGTCATCAGTATTCAAGGTGATTAGTCATCAGTATTCAAGGTGATTGATCATCACTATTCAAGGTGATTAGTCATCATTATTCAAGGTGATTGGTCATCAGTATTCAAGGTGATTAATCATCAGTATTTAAGGTGATTAGTCATCATTATTCAAGGTGATTGGTCATCAGTATTCAAGGTGATTAATCATCATTATTCAAGATGATTAGTCATCATCAATCTTCAGTGTTTTATCGAGTATTAACAACCTCTGAGATGTCAGATATATAAATGTATTGATTAGGATAAACCTTGAGATGCACCGTCTGGTTTTCAAGGGGGTCGACAACAGCAACGTGTTACAGACATGAACAAAATAAGAGAAAGCAAAGCATGACAAACCACGTACAGTCTGTTAAGTTAAATTCATGAAGTAATACAGACAATGATTACAATCATTACAGTCTGATAGCTCAGTTTGATCAATAACAAGAGCAGCTGAAAGTGAGAGGATGATGCTGAAACACACCCGGTGATGATCTATAGCAGCAGGTAGAGTGTTCCAGTCGGTTGGAGCTCTCTGACAGCAGACACAGGGACAGAGTGTCACCTGATCATGTGACCAGTATGCTACAAATTGACCAATCAGGACGGAGTATTCTACTAAGGCAGTGTAATAGTAATTAATATTCACAGTGATTGATTAACACTAAATGTGTGTGTTTCCTCAGGTTCTCCAGTGGCTGCCCCCCCTCAACAGAACCTCCCATGGTTCTGGGTTCCTCCAGTGGAAGCCGGTCTCGTACCGCCGGTCCTCCCCCTCGGTGGAGGAGGGTTCTCCGACGCGGTCCTCCCTCCCCCGCCCTCAGAGAGGCGAGGAGGCGTTCTCCGCCCTGATCACAGCGTTCTACGCAGAACCAGAAACCTTCGGGATGAACGTCAGCTTCGGCATCTCCGGAGAACCGTTCTACAACAGATCTCGGTTCCTCAGCTGGTAGGGTTCCTCTCTCCTTTATTCTCTCCTCCTCTCTCCTTCACGTGTTTCCTCTCTCCTTGACGTTTTTCCTCTCTTCTTCGTTGGTTACAGGACGGTGTTACTGGGTATTGGGATGCCCCCCATGGACTCCTTCTCCTCTCTCCTTCACGTGTCTCCTCACTCCCTCACGTGTTTCCTCTCTCCTTGACGTTTCTCTCTCTTCTTCGTTGGTTTCAGGACGGTGTTACCGGGTGTTGGGACGCCCCCCATGGACTCCTTCTCCTCCCTCCTTCACGTGCCTCATCTCTCCCTAACCATTCTCCTCTCTCCTTGACATTTGTCCTCTCTCCTTTCAGGACGGTGTTACTGGGTGTTGGGACGCCCCCCATGGACTCCTTCTCCTCTCTTCTTCACGTGTCTCCTCACTCCCTCACGTGTTTCCTCTCTCCTTGACGTTTCTCTCTCTTCTTCGTTGGTTTCAGGACGGTGTTACTGGGTGTGGGGACGCCCCCCATGGACTCCTTCTCCGCGGCGGTCCTCATCATGATGGCGGTGGGTTTAGGAACTCCCATGATGCTCCTGGTTCTGGGCGGAGTCTGCATCTGCGTCAGGAAGAGGGCGTCGGCCTCGAACTACGAGCCAATCAACTGAGGGCAGGGGCTCAGCCAATGAGACGACAGACAATTTTTTAATATTAACGCGGGATGACCGACAGCCAATCAGGAGTCAGGGTGCTCACTTGTCAGTGTTAAACAGAAGATAATTATCCCACCGTTTATAAGAGTTTTATAATGAATTGTAATCATGTTTTGAATTAAAGCCGAGTGAATGTGATCACATGACATTCAGTTCAACTCAGGAGGAAATACCACCTGGGGGGGTGGTGTGTGTCACTCAAACAGAGAGAGAACAGATGTCGTCTGTAAATGTGAAACAGCTTCGCTTGAATCTGATCAGACGTTTCAGATTCAACAATTTGAGTTTTATTTGATTTTCTTAAGTTTCTGTTATTTCATAATCTCTTGATGGAAAGCTTGCCTTCAATAAAAATCTTTGTTGAAAATCTCTCACACATTACTTGAGTTTAACCCGTGGAGCGCAGAGAGACAGCACTCCCTGTGGAGCAGAGGGACAGCGCCCCCTGTGGAGCGGAGAGGCAGCGCCCCCTGTGGAGCAGAGAGACAGAGAGACAGCGCCCCCTGTGGAGCAGAGGGACAGCGCCCCCTGTGGAGCAGAGAGACAGCCCCCCCTGTGGAGCAGAGAGACAGCGAGACAGCGCCCCATGTGGAGCAGAGAGACAGAGAGACAGCGCCCCCTGT